ATTATCCCCGGCTTCTGATTTAAAATACACCTCCTTCAGTGCCCAGGAAGTTCACTGAAACGGCGATTACAAAGGGGGGGGGAGAGGGGGGGAGCCTGGGGGGGGGGGGGCGTGGGGGAGATGTGACTTGGTGACTGGGCTAGGGGGAGGGACCTGGGCACTGAAGGAGGTGTATTTTAAATCAGAAGCCGGGGATAATGCAGGTCAACGAACATGGAGGCAGTGGGGTGGGGTGGGGGGAGTGAGGTGGGGTGGTGAGGAAGGGGTAGCTGGGAGACTGACGGTTGGAATGGCCCAGTTTCCAGTCTTACCTGTTCAATAGATGCTGCTCCCCAGGCCTCAGATCATCCCAAGGGCTACTGGCTGGCTCAGCGTACATGATGGGTTGTTGGCAGTGTAAGGAGATGGGGGAGACATGTCCAGCTGATGACCAGTACATTGAGGGACTCAAGCTCTGCCTGACAATGGTTGCATCAGGTCCACTGGTATCGCCGGACACACTGTAACCCAGGATGGAGGGGCTGTAGAAGGCAAGGGTCGGGTATTCATTTGGTGAAGGAATACAGACAGGGGTGTGCTCAGTCAGACTCGGCAGAGAGTTCCCATACTGGGGCTGAGGGTGCAGGGGTCCAACAGGAGATGTAGTTTTGACGTGCTGTTCGATTGGCCCGGTTCGGAGCTCCTGTAACTCAGGCATCTGTGAGGGCTCTTTCATCGAAGAGGTGGTCATGTTCGATGGACAGGTCCCTTGCTGAAAGAACTTGCTGGGAGATCTTCGCTCATAAAACCACTGTGTCTTCTCACTGGGAACGGAGAAAAGGACAAGGGAGAACAGAGTGTTAGCTCTGAAAGTAAAAACCACCAAAAGCACAAACCACAAGCAGAAAGCTGGAGAGCAGGTTGTAGAGTGGGGCCTGTACATTGTCCATGTGGAGCAAGACAGTGACATCAAACACAACATGCCTCATGTCCTTTAGGGAAGGAAACTGCCATCCTCACCCGGTCTGGCCTACATGTGACTCCAGATCCACACCAACGTGATCAGCTCCTAATTGCCTCTGAAATGGCCAAGACAGCCACTCAGTTCAGGGGCAATTAGGGATGGACAACAAATGCAGGTCTTGCCAGTGACACTCACATCCCTCAAAAGAGATAAGTCCGACTTTGTTGTGGCAAAGATCTGGTGAGACCACACAGCTGGAGCCCTGTGAATTGTGCTGGGAACTACCCCCAGCAGGTGTGGTCCCAAATGAATGTTGACTATGCCTCCGGACTGAACCACAAGAGAACTGCAGAATTATCACTGTGCAGAATGAGGCCAATCAGCCCATTGTGTCTGCACCAGTTCTAATCCCCTAGTGCCAACTTCCTGTTTTCTCCCCATATCCCTGCACACAATTTCTATCCAAATAACCATCCAATGCCCCTCTTAAATACCTCAATGGAACCTGCCCCCATCACATTTCCAGAGCGTGCATTCCACACCCTAACTACTCACTAGGTGAAAATGTCTTTTCTTATGTTGCGTTAGCTTCGTTTGCACATCACTTTCATTCCATGCCCTCTCGTTTTTGTTCCTTTCACAAGCAGGAACAGTTTCTCGCTAACTATTCTGTCTAGCCCACTCACCTCAGCCGCCTACTCTCCAGAGAGAGCAGTCCCCTCTTCTTCTATCCTCATCACTGAAGTTTCTCATTCCTGGTACCATTCTTGGAAATCACTCCGCACACTCTCCAATGCATTCACATCTTTCCTATCATGTGTCTAACCAGTGTCTTGTACAAACTCAATGTCACCTACTCTTGTCGTCTGTAGCCCTAAGAATAAAGTTGAGAACACTGTGTGCTTTACTAACTATTCAATGTTAGAGTTACTTGTTTTTCTTTCATAGGAGCTTGGCCCAGCATTTATTACCTATCACTAATTGACCCTTGAGAAGGTGGGGGTGAGCTGCCTTCTTGAACCGCTACAGTCCATGTGCTGTAGGTTGACCCACAATGCTATTAGGGAGGGAATTCCAGGATTTTGTCCCAGCAGCACTGAAGGAACGGCGACCTATTTCCCAAGTCAGGATGGAGGGGAACTTGCAGGGGGTGATGTTCCCATGTATCTGCTGCCCTTGTCCTTCTAGATGGAAGTGGTCGTGGGTTTGGAAGGTGCTGTCTGAGGATCTTTGGTGAATTTCTGCAGTGCATCTTGTAGATGGTACACACTGCTGCTACTGAGCGTCGGTGGGGGAGGGAGTGGGATGTTTATGGATGTGGTGCCAATCAAGCGGCTGCTTTGTCCAGGATGGTGTCAAGCTTCTTGAGTGTTGTTGGGGTTGCACCCATCCAGGCAAGTGGGGAGTATTCCATCACACTCCTGACTTGTGCCTTGTAGATGGTGGACAGGCTTTGAGGAGTCGGAAGGTGAATTACTCGCCACAGTATTCCCAGCTTCTGGCCTGCTCTTGTAGCTGCTATGTTAATGTGGTGAGTCCAGTTGAGTTTCTGGTCAATGGTAACCCCCAGGATGTTGATCGTGGGGGATTCAGTGATGGTAACACCATTGAATGTCAAGGGACGGTGGTTAGATTGTCTCTTATTGGTGATGGGCATAGCCTGGTATTTGTGTGGCGCGAATGTCACTTGCCAGTTATCAGCCCAAGCCTGGATATTGTCCAGACCTTGTTGCATGTGAACATGGACTGCTTCAGTATCTGAGGAGTCACGAATGGTGCTGAACATTGTGCAATCATTGGCGAACATCCCCACTTCTGACCTTATGATGGAGGGAAGGTCATTGATGAAGCAGCGGAAGATGGTTGAGCCGAGGACACTACCCTGAGGGACTCCTGCAGAGAGGTCCTGGAGCTGAGATGATTGACTTCGCACAACCACGACCATCTTCCCATGTGTCAGGTATAACTCCAACCACCAGACAGTTTGCCCCCTGATGCCCATCGTTGCCAGTTTTGTTAGGGCTCCTTGTTACCACACTTGGTCAAATATTTGAAGGGAATGCTGTAAAGGTATGCATCTAACTCTGTGTCTTTATCCTAGTTGGAGTAGAGGAAGCTTTCCTCTGTAGCTAACCCTATGCTGTCCTTGTCCTGAGAATGATTGATGAGGGTTTGATGTAGAGAGAGCTTTACTCTGTATCTAAACCCGTGCTGTCCCTGTCCTGGGAGTGTTTGATGGGGGGGACAGTGTATGATGGGGGGGACAGTGTAGAGTGAGCTTTACTCTGTATCTAACCCCGAGCTGTGGAATTGGAGCTTCCTGGCTAAACGGCTTCATTTCTGAGCACTGACAAACTTCTGGAATGCGGATTTGGAAAGTTTGAAAGTGAGAGTGTAATATTTTACAGCCTTCTCCCTGGAGAGAGGTTTGAGCGGCCAGCCCTGGCAGAAATGAAACATAAGCTGCAAGAATTACAATTTCATCTGGTCAACTTTGCAGCGATTAAAATTTTGGAGAGAAGTCACGGGTTGTTGGGGGTGGGGGTGGGGGGCGGCGGAGCTTTGTGGTAAGCTTCCTTTGAATGTTTTAATCACACGTTGCAGGGTTGGCCAGGAGAAACAAAAGCTGCTTGACTGGTTGTCAAGATTCGTCCAAATACTTTGCACAGGCACAAAGTTGGCACAGTGGGCAATGGACAATTGGAGTGTGAAGGTGAGCAGCTCACCTTGGCAAAAGCAGAGCTGTTCTGAGGCAGGAGGGGAGCAGACAGGAACAGTATTCCAACGTTGCCAACTCACTGCAGAGTTAAGACAATGTGCGGGCAGAGAGAGTTACGGGCAGTGGGCTGGGTGCAGGGAGCCACTTCCTTGGTGGTACAGCATTATTGCTGAATAACTGGTTTTTTCACACAGGGCACTGAGGTCAGGGCCTCGAGCACTCAGGGACAACATTCCAAACCAGAGGAAATTCTTCCAAAGTAACAAAATGCACATGCGTGCCCAGAAAGTGCTGCACGAAACTCGCAGTCCATCAATTCAACGCACAGTCTCAGGAGCTACCCAACCCTGAGCTGCCAAGCGAAACTTCAAACCCAGGATGCATCTCTGATTGATTTATTTTACAGTAACACCCACTGGTGTTTGGGAATCGGATTAATCAAATTACAGTTTAATGTGGAACAGATTGGTCATTCCTGTGGGCTGGCGGGGGTGGAGCAGTTTGGAATTAACTGGTGGGCTTTGTCTGCCAGAGGTAGAGTGAGCTGTACCAATGTGACACTTTCGCCTCAGAGAACATGAGCTGAAATCTGCCTGTTGGGATTTGAAGTTATTTGAGAAGGTAGAAACAAGAACGAAGAAGCTGGCGATGGTGAATGACATCATGAAGTTGTGTTTTCGGTGCCTCAGTTAGTAGACCAGGCTCCTTCCAAGGTGGAGACACAGCATCTGTACCTGGTCAGAGACTCCATGTGACTGAACCCCTACAATGTCACATTAACATCCTTCTGAAGTGACTAAGTGACCGAAAACACTCAGTTTCTGTCAGACGTGCTGTGCAGAAGGGTGAAGAGCTTCCACATCTAGCTCCACCTTCTCCCAGATACCTTTTTTTTCATTATTCATTCATGGGATGAGGGCATCGCTGGCCAGGCAGAATTTATTGCCCATCTCTAATTGCCCAGAGGGCAGCAGTTCAGAGTCAACCACATTGCTATACATCTGCAGTCACATGTAGGCCAGACCAGGTAAGGATGGCAGTTTCCTTCCCTAAAGGACATTAGTGAACCAGATGGGGTTTTTTCAACAATTGACAATGGATTCACAGTCATCATTAGATTCTTAATTCCAGATTTTTTATTGAATTCAAATTCCACCATCTGCCGTGGCTGGGTTCGAACCCGGGTCCCCAGAATATTATCTGGGTCTCTGGATTAACAGTCCAGCAATATTACCACTAGGCCATCGCCTCCCCTAGGAGCTGGACAAAGATGTTTGTCTGTCTGTTTGTCTGCCAGCAACATGCAGATCCCGAACAAAACCAATAAAAAAGTCAAGAAAGAAATGAAATCCCACCGAAGGGCCTGAAGACTTTGTTCTTTGGTCAAACCCTTCATAAGACCATCAGAAATCGGTGCAGGAGTAGGCCATTTGGCCCCTCGAGCCTGCTCCCCCATTGAACAGGATCGTGGCTGATCTGACAATCCTCACTGGCCTGATTAACAATGACTTCCATCACAGAGTAATAACAGCACAGCGGGAGGCCATTTGGCCCTGTGTATCTGTGCTGGCTCTTTGTAAGAGCAGTTCAGCTCATCCCACTGCCCTGAGCTTCTCCTGCACAATCTTACTTTTTCAGGTAACCATCCAAATCCCTTTTGACAGTCTCCATCGAACGGACCTCCACCACACTCTCAGGCAGTGCATTCCAGATCCTAATGCTTTGCTGTGTGAAAAGTTTTCCTCCTGTCACCATCACTACTAGTAATTTGTCCAAAATATAGCTGTTCCTGTTTGCCTTCCAACTGAGTGGTTTGCTCAGCAATTTGCTGGGTTCTCGCTAATCAGAGATGGTCAGTATTTAAATGGCGTGAATGTCACTTGCCAGTGGTCAGCCCAAGCTTGGATATTGTCCAGATCATGTTGCATTTGGACACAGGACTGTGACAGCAGGTAGCAGTGTTTTGGAGGAGCTGTGTTTATGGAGGCAGGGTAGGGGGGGAGCGTGGGAGAGCATCTGGGATAGCCTAAGGGCAACGGAGGCATGGGTGAGGACTTCAGCAGTGGATGAGCTGAGGCAGGGGTTAGAGAGGGGTCAGGGTTACAGAGCTGACTCTGGGGTAAAGAGGGATCAAGGTTATA